GTTAAACAATCAAATTGAACACAAATAATTTTTTGAGCACTTATAATTGATTCAAACATAAATTTTTATTCGGTCGTGTTTGACTCTATTAGTTAATTAACTATTGAATTAATTATTATATTAACTATTTATATTGATTTTGTATCTTGTATTTAAAAATTATTAAATTTTGTTTTTTCAAAAACATTCTAGGCAAAATCAAGCCGAACACTTGCTAAAATGAGCAAACGAATTCTAATTAAGTTGAACATGACTATGATATTGTTGAAATTCAGAATAATGCGGAATAAAGTAGAATACTTTGGGATGCTTAATTATGTCATTGATATGAGCGGAGATATAAATAACCCTTACAAGAATCTTATAGTAGGAAAGATAATAATAATAAAAAAATGATATGAAATGAAAGACATATCACATGATATCTCCAATAATTAATTCATATTAATTATTATGAGATATATGAAATAATGTAAAATAAGAAAACAAATAATTTCTAATCCAAGAAAATAAATATAAAATAGGAAATGAAATATCTTTTTATATTAAGAAAATAATTTGTTCCTCATAACTTCTTATATGAATAAATTATTCTATTATAATTCTTAACATTCCCCCTCAAATTTGAAATATATGTTAATAATTCTAACTTGTTGAGTAGTGAAGAAAAATTGATCGTTTAGATTATCGAATTTGCTAGATTCAAGCTTGACTGAATTTTGAGTTTTGTCACTCATATGTTTCAGTGTAGATTAGAGATTCAAACTTGACTGAATTTGCTGGATTCAGCTTGGCTGAATTTTGTGGTTTGCAGAGAAAGAGACAACTTACATGAAAACTGACTTTTAGTTGACCGCGGTTGTCGTTGGCTGCAGAACAAAAACATGTAAATCACACCCAGTAAATTCTGCTGACTGAGTAAGCAGTAGAAGAAAGGGCGGCTGGAAACAGAGCTCCCCCTAACGCTTTGGTAGGGAAGAAAAAAATACTGCAGGAGGAAGGGCTGGCGATTGATTTTGCCGACATTGTTCGATCCATGACAACGATATCTCCGTAGAAGAAAGGGTGGCTGGAAACAGAGCTCCCTCTGACGCTTTAGCAGGTAAGAAAAAAATACTGCAGGAGGAAGGGTCGGCGATATATTTTGCCAGCATTGTTAGGTCCACGACAACGATATCTCTAGCGAAATGATGATGAGGCGGGTGGCGTCATCGCTGGTGTCGCCCTGGCTGGAACCCCGTTGCTGGTGCCAGCATAGGAGAATAAAAGCAAGAAGTTTTTTTTTTATGGTTTGTGGTGATGTATGACAAAACTCCAAAGCATCTTTGCTATCATGTTTTTTTCTTTGTGGGAGCCGTGTACAAAAGTGAAGTAAGATCTCCCGATTTTCTGAAAGACTTCAGAGAAGGAGAATCCTGGGAAACTAGGAACCCTTTTCGGCCTTGGCGGCAGTGGCAACAGCTTGTCCCCGGAGGCGACCCGTTCTCCTGGCAGCGATAAGACCGGCCTTTTGCCCGGGCGGAGCTTCGCGGTGAACGGTTGATGCGTGGCCGATATGCTGGTGGTTTCCTCCTCCATGGGGATGCTCTACAGGGTTCATGACAACACCGCGGACCTTCGACTGACAGTTATGCTTCACCCTGTACTTGTGGTAAGCGGCTTTGAGGAGAGGTTTCTCCGTTTTGCCACCATCGGCGACCTGGCCGATCATGGCTCAACATCTGCTGGGATCTATCTTCTTAGCGCCAGATGGGAGCTTGATTCTAGAAGTCCCGTTATCAAGGTCATGACTGATAACAATAGTGTAGTCTCCCGAAGCTCTCGCGAGCACACCGCGATCACCAACATGGCGCTCAACGTTGCATACGACCCCCTCCAGGATCGAGCGAAGGGGTAAAACGTTTCCAACCATGAGAGAAGCCTTACGGTCGCAGTACACGAACTGGCCGATGTACATGCCTTCTGCGGCGACGAAGAGCTTCTTTTGGTGCTTGTAGCAGAACGAGCGACAAAAGGTTACGCGAGCGAGCGGAGCTCCACGACCGGGATCGTGGATGATGTCGGTAACCATGCCCTTGAGGTATCCATTGTGCTCGCTGAAGTCGAGGCTGCGAAAACGAGCGAAGCCTTATGGTGGTGGGTGTGGGATTTCAAAATTGATTCCGCTCCCTTCCTCTGTGCTCGGATAACCCTAACCATGAGAGTGGCGGCGAAGAGATGGAAGGGATTAAGAGAAGAAGAAAAAATCGTCGTTTCAAATATCAAGACGAGTGTCTCTTTTTCCTGTACAGAGGATGGCAGGAAGGAAGTCCGACAATTCTCAAAGGAGGACCGCTGGCTCTGATACCATGTCAAAGTTTTGAGAAAAATAAACTGAATCATGAATAGACTCAATTCTTAATAAGCTCGATGCATTTTCCCTTTGCTTTCATTTCATTAAATAATTATCTTACAATCTATTTTAAGTACAAAATATTTTGTATAATCTATTTTAGGTAACTTAATAATATATATTTCTAATCTAAATATTCAGCTAAAAGGGAAATAAATCAGAATAAATATATTGAAAATAATTTAAATAAGTAGGTAACTTAATAGTATATATTTCTAATCTAAATATTCAGCTAAAAGGGAAATAAATCAGAATAAATATATTGAAAATAATTTAAATAAGAAAGCTTCTAATTATAGAAAACTCTTAATTTAGCTGTCTGATTGCCGTCATTCTTGATTGACATCCCCCTCAAATTGATGCTGACTGATCAGGAAATATCAATTTGCCAACAAGAAACTGATGATATTGTGAGGACAAAATATCCTCAAGCCGTGAGTGCCAAAGCCGAGAATGCCGAAGTCTAAGAGTGCCGAAGCCGAGAATGCCGAAGCCTTAGAGACAACTTCTGAACCATAACATGATTTGAGCAAAAGAAACATGATTCGAGCAAAGAAAAACAAGAAATCTCTTATCATTGTCGTCCATAAATTCGAATCATAGCCACAAGAAGGATCCGCTTCCAATTACATAATCCAGCCTACAAATAGGATCCGTTTCCTGATCTAAATGCTGCACGTCATGGCCCACAAATAGGATCCAATTACACAATCCAAATGCTATTAATCATTGCCTACAAGTAGGATCTATTTCCTGTTATACGATTCAAATGCTATTGATTCTTCCTGCAACGATGAGAATGTTTTGTTTCCTGATTTTTACGCCAAAAGTACTGAAGCTGAGATGCCGAAGCCATGAGTGCCAGTGAAAACAAGTTCATGGTGTTCATCATACTCGTAATGTTGGGGTGCAAAATAATTCTCATAGAACTCGCTAAGAAGATCTTCTTTTGGTTCACTAAATTTTGTCTGGTGCCTGAGAGACCATTCATTTCCTCCCCAAATAAGTTTATCTCCTAACAAGGAATCATATAACTTCGACGTATGATTGTCTTCCTGGAAGAGATCTTCAGGTAGAGAGAAGTCGAAAGAACTGCGGGAATTAGGGCAATTCATGTAAGCGAAATTGCTTATAGTTTTGAAGAGATTGCCACCGCTATTCCCAATGCCGTCCGAAGCTAGTAGCGGCTGATAGCAAACCGGAAGACCACTGAATGACAACGTCGGATTCAATGTCTTCGTCGCGGGAGAGCACCGGAGGTCGCTCCGACTCGCTGTGGTAGCGATAACAGCGGGGAAAGGAATAATGAAGATATAATTAGGCAAGGAATGGTTTGTTAGGTGATCCTCAAGCGATGAGAGATCGAAGTTAGAGACACAGAAATTGCGCCAAAGATTCTCTTCTGAGGCTACTACCCGGAGCCCGGAGCTCACACAACCTACCACGGTCGCCTCTCAAGGCCCAAACGAGCAGGCGAACAGTCCAGACAAAGCTGCCGAAGCAGTCGAGCGAGAATCAAGACGAAGAAATAGTTCCTCCTTTCCCGTCTTGCAAGAAGTCCAACGGGAAGGGAGTCTTGACGATACTCCAACAATTATCAGTGCTTTGGGCAAAAATTTGGCTCTGATACGATGTTGAAATTCAGAATAATGCGAAATAAAGTTGAATACTTTGAAATGTTTAATTATTTCATTGATATGAACGAGAGTATAAATAACCCTTACAAGAATCCTATAATAGGAAAAATAATAATAATAAATGATATGAAAGGAAATATATATCACCTGTAATCTTCGATAATTAATTCATATTAATTATTAGGAGATATAAGAAATAACATAAAATAGAAAAACAAATAATTCTTAATCAAAAGAAATAAATATAAAATAAGAAAGGAAATATCTACTTTATTAAGGAAGTAATTTGTTCCTCATACTTTCTTATAGGAATAAATTATTTCATATTATAATTCTTAACATATATATATATGAGCTATTTTGAGTAAATAAATTTTGGATGAGCTGAACATGAATAGGTATTGGGCTCGCTCATGTTCGACTCATTTACACCCCTATTGTAGAGGTAATTTAAACATCTGGACTGGTCATCCCAATCTACTTTCGGGAAAGCGAAAAGAGCACTTTTTTAGTTGCAATTGATAGATTAGAACTCAATCTACCTTCTTGTCATTTTTGTGTGAATCTTTCACGTTTTTTTTTTTTGTAATTTTTGATGCTCTAGATTTATTATTGCAAGTCATTTTGCGAGCATATTACATATGAGTAGTTTTAATTGTGTTTGAGATATAATTCACGATGTTCTGTTTATTGTTCATCATCTTCATCACGCTCGATCGAATTAACCATTGGGGCTTGTGCTTGATAATTTTGACGCTTTAAACGCACCAGCATAATTCATTTTGCTAATGGATGTTGCTTGTGTACTTATTTGGTAGATTTGTTTGCCTTATTTATTGTGCGGCGTGTTGATCAATGTGGACTTCCTTTGTATTCAAATTTGATGTTACAAATATGTCAGAGAAGTTATTTTTGCAAATGTGCCACATAATTGTGACGATGTTACCTCATTTTGGTTAGTTTTCTCCCAGTGTGAGATGACAGGGGTTGTAGTTGATGTTGGAGATGGGGCTACTCATGTTGTTCCAGTGGCTGAAGGTTATGTGATTGGAAATAGCATCAAATCCATTCCCATTTCTGGCAAGGATGTTACTTTGTTTATTCAGAAGCTTATGAAGGTATTATTTCTCTTATCTTTGTCTAAACTATATTCTATGTTTAAAATTTGGTTTTTCAGCTATTGTAAATGCATGCATTTTTTTGGAATTGAGGATTCGCTTATTAAACTGTTGTTAATTATTCTTCTTGCTAATGTATCTTGATAATTGAATAGGATAAGAAAATCACGACCAACGTTAGAACCTGTCTTCACTGTTCTAATCCTTCTTTGGAAGTGCACTCAGGCCTGTAATTGCCACTGCTGCTCAATTATTGAAAATCATTGAAGGATATGAAGCAATTCTTCTTTATAGCAACATGCCTAGAAATCATTTGAAATCCAAATTGATTACATTGGTGGATAATAATTTATCCCCAATGAACATTTGAGTAATTAACTTTGATAAGTACATTGAACATGTGAAGCGTCAGGGATGGGACATTACTTTTGAGAATTGTGTCACGTCTCACTATTGAAATTACTTGATTAGAAAATTAAGATCAAATTTGCTAACAGTCATTTCGATCCTTTAGAAAGAGAAGTGACTTTCCATTGTTTCGCAGTTTTGAAAACCATAAACTTAGGTTCATTCACCAAAAAATCATGCTAGCTCTTTTCCTCAATATAAATGTAAATGGCAAATTTTACCTCTTTAGGTCTTATTTATGCTAGCTCGATTTCTTTCTATCTTCATAGCACTCTTCTTCATTCCCTTCTTCTCTGCGATTTTTTTTGTACGCTTTTTAATGTTTATCCACCTCTCTCTCTCTCTCCTAAGGATATATTTCTTGTGGTAATAGAAAATCTTATGTAGTTATTATTGATGAATACTTGAATTGTTGTGCTTGGCAAGAGCATGTGATTTAGTTGGTGCGGGCTTTGAGAAATCTCACCCAACTTTATTAGTATTCAAGTGATATAGGTTTGACTTGTTAAAAGGGATTGGATTTGTATACAACATTACTTGATATTTACTTTAATGAGGACTTCATGATTTGGGTTAAGATATTTTTATGCATCAACCCTAGTAATTGATTATACCTCTAGATCACACAAGAGAATTTTTTATTATGGTTAGCTGATAGCTTTTGTGATGTTTTGATTGTGATAGCAACTATTTGGATTGGATGAAATAATACACTCTTATTGGCTTACACTAGTTGGTAGGGAGTGACAATCGCTTGATCAAGGTTCCATAATTTCCACCCTCATCTAGTTGTTAGCAAAGGTAGAAGTCTCCACCTAATTGAATAATCCTTATCAACAATCATATGTTTATGCAATTTGATCTTATAAACTTGTGGTGGAAGCTTGTTGAAGTGGTCAATTTTGAGTCCGACTATGGGTAATAGAGAGCATTATGACACATTGAGTGTCTTATGACTCATTATATATAGATTTAGGGATTATGGCTAATATGGACATGAGCCATATTTATAATATAATGACACCATCATAATTAGGCTAAGCATGGATCAGGGGGCCAAGTGCCACATCCTAATCGGTGTAAGATTTTAGTGTGATCATATGAGCTTATTTTATGTGGTTTTGGCTATTTGTGAGCTTGAGCCAAATTTAAAATTACTTCACTTGGAAAATTTTTGCAACATATAGAAAAATTAATTCTCCGAGTGCAAAGCGGTTAGTTATTACTTGATTTTGGCTTTTATTATATATGCTATAAGGGGGTTAGATTTTGATTGAATTTCATCTGGGCGTAATTTGATACGATTACTTCCTTCATGGGATAAATAACCTGAAATGTATTTTGCTTAAAATTTGAGAGGGCATCTCTATGACAAGGATCCCCTTTGATTATAATATTTCGATAACTAAATCCATAATATAGGATGCGACGTAAAGTATTTATCTTGGTTGATAGGGAGTTTGATTTTAAAAGTGAACCCTCCAATTATGCTTCTATTTTAACCCTTCATTTAGTAAGTTGTCGTGCTTTAGGCCTCTACCCTTTTTATGTAGAGGATGGATTTTGGAAGTGAGACTTACAAGTCCTATAATAAAGAGGGCCAAATGTTGCAATTTTACAACCTTTCCGTTTTGGTAGGGTGACTCGGTATAGTTTTCTTATTTTAGGAATATCTTATGAAAGTCCTTAAAGACCTCTTCAAATACATTATCAAGTATTTTGGCAAAACTTTCTATTGAATTACTAGTTTCCAGTCCATGTCAGGAAAGATTGGTGCCTATTTGATGCTGGGAAATTGTAATTATTCTTTTATTACTCAGACACCCATGAAAATGTGAACTTGGCCAATTCCTTTCTTCACATTTCGGAGATCGAGCTTCAACAAACTTCATATGTTTCCTGTTTTTTAGACCCTATTCTTAATATTTTCTAGAATTTTTGGTATTTGTATAATTTTCGTAATGTGAAAAATAGGGTATCACATGCTTTGGTGTACTCCTAAGAAAGTTTGGGGCGTTAGACATGACATTTAATAATCCTAGAAATCCTGAAGCATCTCAAAAGTTTCTATATTTTTCTATGATTGTTTTTGTTTGTCTCTGAATCAAGTTTTCTGGCTATATTTTGTATTTCTTCTACGAATTTTCTATCACTTACCTAATTTTCATGAGTTTTCATATTATTATATTTTTATGATTGAGGAAATATCAGATGTCTTATTCCAAACTTTCTATTCAAGTTTGATGCATGACGAGAGTCACTTGGGACCAACATGGATGAATAATTGAATTGAAAGATGATTTCACACTTCTTTCAACACATCTAAATTAATGCCACCTTTGCATTAGCAAGCATGGTTTCATGTTTTTTAGCGCACCATTTTTTTCAATCTCATTTGCAACTTCATTTATCTTTGCATCGTAGTTGGCAACATGATTTTAATCATATTTGTACAGGAGAATTTTAATTTTTTTAAATAATTATTTTCCTTGCAACTTTTCTAAGTAACATTCTTGTCTTGTTCCTTTTTTTATGTAAACTAAGGAAGGGTCTCTTCATGTTTCATTATTTATTTTGGTCTCTACATTCACTGTTGTCCAAAATTTTTGGATGAATTTGAGTAGCACTCTCACGTTTCCCTATGAAGGCGCCTAAAGGATTTATTTTTCAGTTAATTTGTGGGGATGGGTGACCTCATATTATATACATTTTAAATTTTCTTTGTATGCATTTGTATATTATAATAGGTGTGTGCGCACACACACACATGCATACATAGATTATTATTGTTATTAATTTGAACAGTACTTATCAAAATAACTTAACTACATTTGAAATAAAATAATAATAAATGCCCCAAATAACCTCTAACACAATTTTCTGGTTGACTACCATGTTTCATATTTTATTTTTAGAAATAAATGAATTATTTCCTGAAATTGTGATGCACATTTATGTGTGTTCCATTTGTTTCGTAAATGGCTTACAACGTTGTTTCAATTAATAGAGTAGTTGGTTTAATTAGTGATATAATTAATATCACTAAGGTTTAATTGGATTTTAAAATTGGTGTTTAAATCTTAGATAATTAATTATTTGATTAATCAAGCAAAATAATTTCTATTCAAGTATTTAAAGATTAACAATGCTCTATCAAAGCTTATTAATTTATTATGATTATTTTTTTATTGTGATTATTAGGCTTGAGATTATTGTTGACCAAGTGGTCAAAATAATTGAAAAATTAAAAAAAATAATAATAATTTCCTTATAATTGATAATTAACTATTTAGATCAATCTGATGGGTTAATTAGGTTTTAATGAAGTCCAATGTTGCTTTAGTATATAATTATTATGATTAATTCTATAATAGTTCTATTTTTAATAGTCGACTATATTAGTTGGTAATTATCTTATGCTAAAATTAATTAAGATTTAATGATGGTTTTAATCATGGCCATTAATATTTGATTGTTATATAATTATAATATTTTGGCATGAGATAGTAAACTAATCAATTAATTAGTCGTATTAATAAAACAAGCCATTTTGTTTGATTGGCGATTAACTAAAATTTAACTGTGTTCATTTATAGCGTTACTTAATTAAGATTTTTGAAGGTAGGTGTAATTAGACTTTAACTTGATCTTTATAGTTATATTCATTAGTTGTTAAGTAATTGTTGCTCATGATATATATTTAGAATAAGTAGGGCTTAAATAAGTTTAAAAAGGATACTTGTGTCACGACCCGACCCGAGTTTTTGAATTAACCAAGACGGGAACAGATGGTCGGAGGGTGAAAAAATTTACTGTATTTCTACTCATTCCAAATGCAGAGGAGAAATGCCATTTGAATGATACTATCAAGCATCCATTAATGCTACTTGGGATTGAAGATTATTCTGTGCTGGGGAAGAGGGCAAAACCGTGATGTCATTTGGTAAAAGCGGACAATACCTTGATGTGTGGGAGTTTGGATTGTCATAAATTGGTACTAAGATGTTCAACTCAATTTTGCTAAGTGCTAAGTGAATATATATTATTTTTCTTTATTTTTGATTGCCAAACTTGTTTTTATTTTTGTTTCTACAAACAAGAGCTAGTAAAATCATCCATTTTTTCAAGTAAAAAATGAAAAATAAACTCAATATAATCTTAACATAAACAAAACCAATCCATACATAATATATGGCCATTAAGTTTTTTTTAAAAATGGATTTGATTTGATTTTTCTTTTATTGCAATTTGTCTCTAGGGATTTCTAAATTAATCATATTATAATAACATGCATCACACCTCAACTTCAGTCAACCCGAACTAGGGATGAAAATAAGCTGTGCTCGAGAAAGCTAAGTGTTATCGAACTCAGCTTGTCAAGCAAATGAACCAAATTTTTTTTGTTTATTCGGTTCGTTAAGACAACTTAAACACGGACTTGCTCACAAATATAAATTCTACTTGAAAGTCATATATAAGTTATAAAATGTAAATGTCGCCACATACATCTATATAATTGTAAATGTACGAAGAAGAATAAGTGCGAGTACGTATTCTCCTCAAGACACACACACACACATGAAATATTTGACTTCATAAAAATTAGTTAAACTTGAGCTAATCTTTGAGCCGAATAAAATTGAACTCAAGCAATATGCTTTTTTGACAGCCCTTCGAACTAATTTGCATAATCTTCCTTTTGTGGTCATTTGTTTGATTCTAAGTTAACATTGTTCATAGATTAGGATGATAACTAGTAAAAAAAGGACGTGAATTGGCCTAATTTGGCCAAATCATCCTCCTCCAGTGTGTGGGGTTATTTGATTATGTCGTGACTCCCTTTCATGATTTTGATTTCATTGATCCTTGCCTATGTTAGGCTTGGGCTGAACCCACTAAAGGGTTTGGTTCCTATTGGTGGTTGAGAAAATCCTATGAAGCCACAACCCTCGAAAGATTTTCCTACGGCTAACATTTTTGAAGCTTGATTTGGACATCTGAATATTCTAAAGGGGATGCCAATGGATCATGATTTTTTGCCTAGTTTAATACAGTCCTTAGGTTTTATTCAATATAATTTTTAAAATAATTCACCAGATAGAGTTTATTTTCTTAAAGTTTAGATCACGCATCCGGATATAGGTATTTCTTTCTGAAAACTTGTGTTTTTTGTATCCTTTGTGGCTATTCTATTCTTGTCTTTTATATTGGTTTATAGCCTTTTCATTGTTCTTTTTTCTTACTGATGTCAAGTACTCTATTAATCTAGATGATACATAATTATTTTACTTAACTAGAATGGTATTAAGCATACTTTTCATTGTTTATAGCCTTTTCGTTGTTCTTTTTTCTTACTGATGTTAAGTACTCTATTAATCTAGATGATACATAATTATTTTACTTAACTAGAATGGTATTAAGCATACTTTTTTTTCTTCGACTTCCTCTCCTATAAAATAATTTGTTAATTTAAGGGACAATTACATACATAACAATGATAGAGGAGGAGATTGGGTTTTGCTCGCGAGAGGGTGTGTGGGATTACTAATAATGGTGAGATTACTAGAGATAATTGGAGAGTATATACATTAGAGGAGACGCAACTTCTGCATTAAAATTAAAATGGCGAGGGAGGAAACGTAGGAATACAAATAATGGTGTTTTAGTCATTTTCTGCTCAAATCGATGATTATATTTTTTAAAAAATAACTTTCATGAAAGAATCTTATACGTGAGGTGTCAAAGTAGAGGCTTTTCAAAAACATGGCGTTCTGCCAAGATCTAAACCGAGGACCTTTACATGCATATATATATATATATATATAATTTACTTTTATACCCTCTGATTTTATTCATGTTTGTCATTTAATATTTTATAGACGTGTTAAAAATTCAAATCATCATATTATAATGGTATATCACATTGATGATGTGTCGTGCTTAGGGTTTTTTATTCTCTGCTAATTCCACTGCCCAAATGACAACTGGGTGTATTTTCCTAGAATTTCTTGTTAAACGGAATAACAGCAATCTTTTGTTTTGTGTCATGTTCTACTGCTTAAAATGTTGTTATCCACATGTTCTGCACATTGTGATTCACCAAATGTGCCTGCATATTTTATACAGGAAAGGGGAGAGAATTTACCTCCTGAAGACTCTTTTGAAGTTGCTCGGAAGGTTAAGGAAATGTATAGCTACACTTGCTCAGATATTGTTAAGGTAATTTTCCTCTGCGCTGGTCATTGAGAAAACATTATATCATATTCTACTTGATGCATAGATGATGTAAGCAACGGAGCAGATTATATGGGCGTCATTGCTTGAGAATAACTCAGTCTAAATTTTAAAATATTATTGGAGGCGCCAGAAAATGGAAAGCTAAGCAACGGAGCAGATTATATGGGCGTCATTGCTTGAGAATAACTCAGTCTAAATTTTAAAATATTATTGGAGGCGCCAGAAAATGGAAAGCTACAACTAACCTGGAATTACTTTAATTAACATGATTAAATGTTCTTAGAGATTTAGCCATAGTTCTGCATATAAAATGCTTTAGTATTCGGATGTTCAAGACCATATGGTGGATATAAGCTTGATTATGATGATAATTACACAACTTGTTTCTTTCAGAAAAAAAGTGCATCCATGTTCTCTTATTATTAACATTTGTACTAAGGTTTCAAGTATTTAACTATGATCCCAGAAGCTTACTTCGGACTTGCTTTTCAATTTCATAGCTGTGGTTTATCTCTCTGTTCCATGTGAGAACTGAACCAATGTAGAACCAAGATCAACTTTTAAAATTGAAACAAATGAGTTGAGCATGTTCTCTTCTATACATATATATATATATATA